TTTTCAAGATTTTATTAAAGAAGACATTTTTCAAGTTCAAACTGCACATGCTGTTTCTTTCTTTCTCGAAGTTGCTATTTTACCTATATTTCCAAGTTTTAATTCACCTGGTATACATAAAAAACCTGTAAAATTAAATAATGGATACGGAATTTTAAAATATCAAAAAGCAAATGAAATTGAAATACCTGAATGTCTTGTAAAAATAGAAAATAACTTTGCATTTACCACTCTTTTAAATAATTCTTCAAATTCTGTAAAAGTGTCTTTTATTGAACCTTTTGACATTGAACCAGTAAATATAAATGAATTAAATTTTATGAATTCTGATAATAATATTGAACAAGTAAATAAAAATCAAGATAATTTATTAAAATCTAATTTAAAAAATCTACGACTTGATCATTGTAATTCTGAAGAAAAGCAAGCTATCAGAAAATTATGATTAGAATTTCGAGATATTTTTCATCATGAAGATATACCTTGATATATGAATGATAGGTGATGACTCTCTCTCTCTCTCTCAGTTAATTATTATATTCTATATTTTATTTTCTCACCTTATAAAGTAAAAATATAATAATTATTTTCTCATATAATATTTTATTGTAGAATATATCATTCTCTCTCTCTCTCTCTCAGTTAATTATTATATTCTATAATATTTTATTTTCTCACATTATAGCATTCCATTTTTCTCTTACGCTCTAATAAATTATTATACTCATTTTCGCTATGTCTGCAGACGCTCGCAAATTAAAAACACTTATAGCTCAACGCTCTGTAGAACTTACTAGAATTAAAGAACTTAAAAAATCCGCTGATCAAGCTCTTGAAGATCCAAATTTTCACCCTAACTTTAGATGTAGAGCAAAACACTTAGAAGATATTTATAAAACTTTTAATAAGATTCATAATAATATAATTTTATTAGTCTCCGCACAGGATAATGGCGATATTGATCCTCATGTCAAAATTCAAACTGAATTTAATGATTATTATTTTCACATTGAAGCATTATTCACAATTTATTTCCGCAAACGAAATCGGAGCTGGATACGACACAATTACAAAACACTACTGCTCAATGTTCGGTAAAACTTCCTAAAATTGAGGTACCCCATTTTGATGGTGAATTTAAACATTGGCAAACATTTATCGATATGTTTGATTCTCTTATACACTGTAACTCGTCTCTTAGTGATATATCGAAATACAACTATCTAGTGAGTTTCTTACGAGGTCCTCCTTTAGCTTTGGTATCTAGTACTCCACTTGCCAATCAAAATTATAATATAGCATATCAAGCCTTAAAAAATAAGTACGATAAGAAACGTTTGATTGCAAAAGCTCACTGGCAGGCTCTAGAAAATATTAAGCCCATCTCTAACGAAAATAATCATGAAGCTCTAAGAAATATGATTGATATTTATACTCGTAATATTACAATTTTAAATAACTTGGGTTTTCCCACAGAGAGCTGGAGTTTTGTGCTATTTAATATGATTTATGATAGACTTCCAGAAATTTTGCAAACTAATTTTGAACTGGAATGTGGCTCTGTTTTATCACAAGATATGCTATACCTCAAATCATACGATACACTCATTGAATTTTTAGAAAAACAATGTTCAGCTAAAGATACAATCTCTCTAACTAAATCGTTTTCTCATTTTAATAAAAATAGTAATTATGACAAAACTAAAACGAAGTATTCACAAAAAAGTTATAAAAATAAACCTACCTCTTCCTTTGTTGTCAACACTCAGTTGAAACAAAATTTAACTTGTCAAGTTTGTAACAAGGATCATTTTATTTATAACTGTCCAGATTTTATTGCTTTTACTCCAAAACAGAGATATGATTTAATTAAATCCCGAAGTTGGTGCTCAAACTGTCTCGGCACTAGACATTCTTCTAAGAGTTGTAATTCTCGTTCCTCATGCCGAACTTGTGGCAAAAAACATCATTCGCTTTTACATTTCGAAGGTCAAATAACAACTCCTGTAAACGTTCCTCCATCCACTTCATCGCAAACTCTTCCAGTTCTGCAAGCAAGCAGCTCTATCTCAGAAGTTGTATCTACAAATTTATTTGCAAAACATAAGAATAAAGCTCTTCTTTCTACAGCATTAATCAATGTTCAAGATGCGTGGGGTAATTTTCATGTAATACGCGCTGTAATTGACAGTGGAAGTGAAAGTCACTTTATTTCAAAATCTTGTTTTAATAAATTAGGTTTATCTAAATTTTTCCTCCCCATCCAATTGTGTGGCATCGGGAAAAATATTTCCAAAGGTTCTCACGGTGTTAGATGCAACATTAAACCTATTGGAAAGTCTGATCCGATCTACTCCTTGGAGTTTATTATATTAAACGAAATTAGTGATAATTTACCGATTAATTCTCTTCCCGTTGAACAGTTCTCAAAGTTTTCTCAATTGCCCTTAGCTGATCCCAACTTTCACCTCTCTAAACCCGTAGATATACTTTTGGGTGCAGATATTTATGGTTTCTTGATAACAGGAAACAAACTCCTCTCAGATCCAGATCAACCCGTCGCTTTAGAAACTATATTTGGATGGATAATTACAGGAAGAGTTAAAACATCTAGTGTTTCACTCTCTGTAAACTCATACTTTCTTACCTCTTATGCTTCCTTGGATCAATCACTTCAAAGATTCTGGGAGTTAGGGACGTTCCACAATCCTCGACGCTTTCTTCAGATGAAAAGCTTGCCGAAGAACACTTTTTGTAAAACATTTTCACGCACTCTTTCTGGACGTTATAAAGTATCTTTACCATTTAAAACTTTGGAACCGATCTTTGAAGGTTCTAGAGATGTCGCCCTTCGTAGATTTTTCTCGCTCGAAAAACGATTGCTTCGAAACCCCCAACTTTATTCTCAATATTCTAATTACATGCGTGAATATTTAGATTCTCAATATATGATTGCCGTGCAAAATCCTTCTCCCAACGCTTATTCTTATTATCTGCTTCATCATTGCGTAATCCGACCAGATAGTCTCACGACCAAACTTAGAGTTGTTTTTGATGCTTCCGCTCGAGATTACACAAATAAATCTTTGAATGACACTCTCTTAACTGGGCCAAAATTACAGTCAGATATTTTATCTATTTTGCTTCGATTTAGATCGCTTTTTATTGTATTTGCTAGCGATATTAAACAAATGTTTAGTCAAATTCTTGTTAATGAAAATCATACTTAATACCTAAAATTTTTATGGCGATTTTACCCTAATGAGCCCATTCAAGAATACAAACTTACTCGTGTTACTTTTGGTTTAAGCTGTAGCCCATTTTTAGCCATTCGAGTTATAAAACAAATTGCTTTAGAAAATTTAGTAAAATATCCCGAAGCATCAAAGATTTTAGATATGGAGACGTATGTCGATGATATTATATCTGGTTGCGATTCTCTTTCTCTTGCTATAAAAATTCAACGCGATCTCATTTTTATACTCAAACACAGCGGTTTTGAACTTAGAAAATGGACTTAGAATAGCTCAGATTTTCTTTCTCAGTTATCTCCAAATGAATGCAAAATGGATTCTTCTCTCTCTTTAAATATAAATTCTCTTTCTTCCTCTAAAGTTCTAGGACTAAACTGGAATCCCTCTACAGATGAATTTTTCTTTGATTCACCAGAGTTGTCCTTGACAAACAAAATCTGTAACAAACGCAATATTCTTTCACAACTCGCAGCATATTCGATCCTTGTGGCATGTTAGTTCCTCTCACTCTTCACCTAAAACTGATTATACAAGATTTGTGGAAGTTAGGTATAAATTGGGATGATCCTGCTCCCAATAACATTGCTACATCTTGGCATCAACTCGTTCAAGAATTACCTTGTATTTTCTCTCTCAAAGTTCCTCGATATTTTCTCACTCTCAAATATTTATCCCTGGAAGTACATGGTTTTTGTGATGCTAGTGAAAAAGGCTATTGTGCAGTAATTTATTTTAGGATAATTCTTCCAGATAACTCTGTAAAAACAAATTTTGTCTGCGCTAAAGGCAAAGTAGCTCCACTCAAAAAAATCTCAATTCCAAGACTGGAACTCTGTGCAGCCTTACTTCTGACCAGGTTAATTGATTTCGTTAGAACTTCTCTTTCTAATAAACTTATTAATGTTAGTACGATTGCATGGTCCGACTCGATGGTTGTTTTGCATTGGCTTAAAAGTGAACCATATAAGTGGAACACCTTTGTAAGCAATCGAGTTTCCCAAATTCAAGAGAAATTACCTCCTTCTTGTTGGCGTCATGTAGTCTCCAAAGACAACCCCGCTGATCCAGGTTCTCGTGGTCTTCAACCTAGCGAGTTACTCGACAATGCCTTATGGTGGGCGGGACCTCCATGGCTAAGCCAACCGGATCTTATTGGCCGCAATCAATTTTTACTTTCCCTGAATTGAAGAAGAACAACGAAAAGTTATATTGACATGTACTTCACAGCCCTCATTGTTTGATACTCTCTTTGAAAAGTTCTCTTCTTTCTCTAAAATTATAAATATTGTCACGTTTTGCAGACGCTTTCTCTATAATACTCGACATTCTAAATCTCGTAAAACCTCTCCTCTCTCGAAATTTGAAATAAATGAAACTCTAGAATGTATTATTAAATGTGTTCAATCACAATATTATGCTAGGGAAATTCTCTTAATAAATAATTGCAAATCTCTACCTAAATACTTAAGAAAATTGACCCCCTTTATCGACACCAATGGAATTCTTAGAGTTGGTGGTCGCTTGCGCAATGCTTCTCTAAATTTCTCTCAAAAACATCCCGCACTCTTACCCAATAATCATAAATTTACTACTCTACTCATAGAATATACTCATAAACTCTATTTGCATCCCGGTCCCCAAACTCTTCACTATATTCTCGCTCAACAATACTGGATTGTTTCTGCTAGAAAAACAATTCGTAGTGTTCTCTTTAAATGTCCTCAATGCTTTCGCGCTAATCCAGTAATGCCTCAGCCTCCTATTATGGGAGATATTCCTGCTGTAAGACTTTCTCAAGTAAAACCTTTCTCTGAAGTTGGATGCGACTATGGTGGTCCATTCTCTTTATTAAGATATCGTGCACGAGGTGCTAAGTCCTGTAAAGCCTATATTTGCTTATTTGTGTGCATGGCCACGAAAGCTTTGCACTTAGAACTGGTTTCCGACCTTTCCTCCGAGACTTTTCTGGGTGCAATGCGTCGATTCATTTCTCGTAGAGGTCGCTGCAATCATATTTATTCCGATTGTGGAACGAACTTTGTCGGAGCTTCTAGAGAACTGATTAATATGCTAAAATCCGCCGCTGAGCAAGAACAAATTTCCTGGCACTTCAATCCTCCAAGCGCGCCTCATTTTGGTGGCCTGTGGGAAGCAAGAATAAAGTCTGTAAAAACTCACATTAAAAGGGTCATTGGTGACCAATTGCTCACGTATGAGGAATTTTATACGCTACTGGTTCAAATAGAAGCAGTGCTTAATTCTCGTCCATTGTGTCCACAAAGCTCTGATCCTAATGATTTGTCAGTTCTTACTCCAGGACATTTTTTAACCCTAGAGCCGTTAAACGCCCCTCCGGAAGATGATCTTTCCGGGATAAAATTAAATCATCTCTCTCGCTGGCAGTTGATATCACGCTTGCACCAAAGCTTTTGGAGCCGATGGTCTAAAGAATACCTTCAAACACTTTTACAAAGAGCTAAATGGAATGAATCTACTATTCCAATAGAAATAAACTCGGTTGTTTTAATAAAGGATGATAATTTAACTCCGCTCAAATGGAGCATTGGAAGAGTCCTAGAGATTCACCCGGGCCATGATCGTGTTACACGAGTGGTTACTTTAAAAACAGCCAAAGGCATTCTTAAGAGACCAGTGACAAAGATATGCCCACTGCCTTACTGCAAATCTCAAAATTAAAATTTACTCTCTAAAAAAAAGAAAACATAATCGCAAAAAAAAACATAATCGCAAAAAAAACATAATCTCAAAATAAACATAATTCACATCTCTTATTTAATTACTTTTCTCTACTCTATAACAAATGTAAACTCTCTTAATATTTAATTAAATTACGCTCATACATTAACCCTAATAATGCATTTTTATAAATTTCCTCTAAATTTAACTCCATAAATTTCACTCTTAGTTTCTTTTAAACATAACGCATTTTTTCACTTTTTTTATTTTACTTTACTATTCTCAAACGAAAATGGAAAATATTTCATTTTGGTGGGCGGTATGTTGGATTCTATCCCTTCCTCTCATCCTTTACCCGAAAACCCTTAGTGGGTACGTAGCCGTAGTCGAATACGCAGAGTGACAAGATCGGCCGAGTACACAGTGTACACTTCCAAGCGCGCGCTATCCTCAAGTGTTTTATAAGCAAAAAATCAACAAGTACGAGTCCAGAACGGGAATAAAGGTGAGTGCCCACAGTCCTGACACATTAACTCACCCTAATGAACTGAGCCCCTTAATTCTCGCCCGTAACAATAAGTCTATTCAAGACATTGTGTCAAAGTCACCTCACCACACAATAAAAGTATAGTTCGAAATGATCTTTAAAAATAACGTTAATTACGTCACTGTGCCTAACAATGAACAAATAATAAAACAATTTCTTAAAGAATATTTAATAGGTGATAAAACTTCTTATATTTATTTTGTTGATAAAGAACTTAATCATACGTCAATACTTCTTCTAAAAAGTTTATTTAACTTATTTTAATAAACCAAAATTAATACAATGTACGAAACTTGTCAATAATATTATTGAAAAAGAAGAACAAAATTTATTAATTAAACACCAACATGAAAGTAAAACTAATCATAGAGGTATTAATGAAACCTATGATCGATTAAAAACCAATTATTATTGGCCTAAATTAAAGAATCCTGTCGAAGAACATAGTAATGATTGTATCACTTGTCAAACACAAAAATATAGTCGATTAAAATCTTACATTCCTTTAGTCAAGACTGACACCCTGTAAGCCATTTCAAATTATACACCTAGACACTTTTATATTTGAAAAACAAAACTTTTTAACTATATTTGACAAATTTTCTAAATTTGGTCAAGCTTATATTTATGATAAAAATGCAAAATCGGTTTGTGATAAATTGATTAACTATTTTTCATTTTTTGGTTGTCCAGAAAATATTGTTACTGGTAATGGTTCTGAATTTAATAATGATTTAGTAAAAGAATTTTTATATTAATTATTATATATTTTTTTTCGTTGAAATATTGCGTATCGGTTATTTAGTAATGCTTTGACCCTGACAGCGAACAGACACGTGTGCTGGTGCCAGTGTGATGTTAGCAGCCTAAAGTAAGTTTTTTTTATGTCTAAATAATTTTAAATTTAAGGATTTTAGAGTAAATTAATAGATTCTTTTAACTGGCACCTATTTAAGTGATTGTTCCTCTTTCTAATTTGCATGCTGCTAGGTATTTTATTTTACAATGTCATAGAATAAAATGGCCGAGATTAGAAAAATTACCTGGAGGGATGATTGTACCACTGCACGTAGGGGACGATTGTACCGGTACAATTGTCCCCATAGGGACAGCTGTTACATATTTATTAGCGGTTGTAAAGCTAAATTTGTTACGGTTAAACAGATTTTGATAAGGAAAGAGGTAGGTATCATTGGATCACCCAAACACACAATTGAAAAAAATGTAGTTTTTAAACAGGAATAATATTCTCTTCGTTATATCCAAATCACACCAGTCTTAAATTAAGAATACTTTTTTCTGTGTTTTTTTTTATAAAACCAATATTTTTAAATTATGATAAGTGTTACAACGTATTTTTTTCTCGTAGAATGCCTAGAACAAGAATACGCAAAACCGACAGATCATCGAAGGACACTTCGCTATATGAACGAGCGTAGGATGAGGTTGTTACTGGTGGTAAATCCATTCGGTGGTAAAACCAGATCGGTTCCTACAAAACCTAACAACCCAAAACAACCCCCTAAACCTACAACGGTTCAAAAACCAGATCGAATTGTTGCGAAAAGAGGAATGAGACAGGTTGGTGCTTTAACGTCAGGTGAACGCGGAACCCTCGTTACTCTTACTGTAGCAGTTAATGCAATTGGCAATTCTACACCACCATTGTTTATCTTCCCGCACCTTAGATATCAAGATCACTTTGTTAGAGATGGCCCCTTAGGATGCATTGAAGCAGGAAATGGTAGTGGGTGGATGCAGGAAAAAGAGTTTGTGATTTTTTTGAAACATTTCCAGAAATATACAAATTGTTCTCCCAGTCAGAAGGTTTTATTATTACTCGATAATCACTCATCACATATATCTTTACCAGCACTAGACTTTTGCAAAGAAAAAGGTATTGTGGTCTTGTCATTCCCGCCACACTGTTCCCACAAATTACAGCCCTTAGATCGGGCTGTATATGGGCCGTTAAAGAAAGCCGTCAACATCGCTTGTGACAGTTGGATGAGGAACCACCCTTCAAAAACCATGACAATCTACGATATTCCAGGAATAATAAAAATAGTATTGCCTCTTGCACTCACCCAAACAAACATACAGGCTGGATTTAGATGTACTGGTATATGTCCATTCAACAGGGATATTTTCACGGAATTAGATTTTGCTCCATCATTAATTACCGATAGACCAATGCCTTCCCCAAATGTTAACGATAACATCACTGAAATTAAAAATTCCACTATGGAAGTACAGTCGGAGTTAGAACCACCTACAAGCTCAATTCAACCATCTACAAGTATCATTCCAGGTTCCACAGACACAGCACTATCATCGACAAGCAGAGCTCAACCATTTACAATCGTCATTCCATCTCCCACAAGCAACGTGCAACCATCAACCATCATCATTCAACCTTCCACAAGCACTGCACAAATAAGACGTTCCCTCCAGTTGTAGATTTTCACCTGAAAGCGTTCGTCCTTCTCTTAAAGCCCCTCCCAGAAAAGAGAAAGGAAAAAAAATAAGAAAAGGAATTCTGCTATCTACACAGATACACCAGAAAAAGAAAAAATCAGGGTTGAATATGAAGAAAAACAAAGAAAGGGAGTTAAGAAAAACTTTGGGTCAGAAGCAAAGGGAAAGCAAAAAAAAATTCACAGATTTTGCAACATGCGCAACCATCATAGGCGTATTGAAAATACCAGACACAAGTCGGCGGTTGTCGACAATCACCTGTTTTTTACATTTTATATTAACTTGTGGCGTCATTTGGAAGAGCTCAATAGAAATATAAAAGAACTAAACCTTGTTCGTTGGAAAGCAATTTGACATTCGTGACGTCAGCACTCCGACAGTCTAACGTAAACGTATCATTGATCACTATTCACAAATATATTCCAGATACGTATAGTGAACAATTTTAACGTTCGCAACGTTAAATAATTTTGATATTTGATTTTTATCGTGATGTATGATTTTGTAAAAGTGGAGAATTTAGTGAGGAAAATATTAATGATGGATATGAACGTGTGCGGATTCGTGATTGGTCACGACACTATGACGGGCTCCTATACCCACGTAGGAGCCCAAAATATGTAAAAAGGGTGTCAGTTTAGCTTAAGTTTAGATTAGATCTATATTTTTTATTAATGTAAAACCAACTAAAACCTAATTCTAATCTAACCTAAACTCACTTCTTCTTTTGCATATTTCGGGCTATTACCTGGGTATTCCTAGGTTTAACCAATATTCGAACTTAAGTGTAAATTTAAATTTATGGATGGCCCATAAATTTATATTCGCCGTACAAAAAAAATACTTTTCACCAATTTTCACAATAAAAATTAAAAGTTATAAATCATAATATTTTTTATAGAAATGAGGGAATAAGGGTGAACGAGGTGCCGCGCCGGTAGACCAACAAGATACTTGGAATGTAAATGTTAATTTATACTGAATGGAGTTGCCTCACAGTATAGGCGTATTTTGAACCCCTACCGTGCATAGTTACTGTAGAAAAATAAATTAAAATATAGTTGGCTCCAACGATAATTTAGTTTGCAGCTTCTTTTCATCATACCTAATAAAAAAACCGTCACAACCACTTTGCAAAATTTAACAAAAATATTTCTTTTTATACCTTACAATTAATATATTTAATCCAATTTATCAGTTCTGGATCATATCCGAAATTTAGATTGTGTGTGACACAATGAAGAGTTAAAGTGCAACGTGAACGACCAGAAAATATCAAGTAAAAAAGATTGTTAAGTTTTAATTACTAGTTACGCAGTCCTCCCCCCATATTGGCTTCCCTCTTGCCTAAAATCTATATTGTCTTTAAATAATATAATAATAATATTTTAAATACAAATGATTGAAACTCATACAAGTTTACCATAATTTAAACTTAAGATATATAGTCCCTAATTATATTAAAATATAACACTTACGAAGAGTTAATAAATATTAACTATTTATACTTATTTTTAATCATTAATAATTCTGATAAAAACACGCTTGATTTTTTTATTTTAGAAACCATACGGGCTATAATAATTAATATGACTATATTAACAATACTTAAATTAAAATTTATTTGAAGGAATGCTACTGTATTACAATAATTGTAAAAGACGTATGTAATAATAACTCGGAATAAGATAATAATTATTTAAAACTGCTCACAGCTGCTCGCATTATCGATGTCGGCGTCTTGTCACTTTTATTTAGTCTTGTCAGTATTATTTTATTAGCCGTTTAGGTATAGTTTGATTTCAGATAATGCAGATTTTAATGTGACATTTGTGTTTTTTTTTATTGTATTTTTTTGCATATTTGGTATCTTCTATGAAGTGATTTTAAGTGCTCCTGACCATTTTTCAATTATTAAAGTGCCTATTTAGTATTTAGATACATTTAAAATGAATTAATTAGTGTATATAGTATTTGTATTATGGCTTTGTTTATTTTTTATGAGATGTATTTTTTTCCCATTAAAATAAACATAGCTTACTAGATCACTAGCTAGCCATTTTTAAATACAGGGTGTTAATTAAGTATCTGGCCAAACTTCAGGAGGTGATTTTTTGAGTGTTTTAAGGTAAAAAGTTCATATAAACATGTGTCCGGAAATGTATAATTTTAAAGATACAGGGTGTCAAGGTGTTTTCTAATAGACCTTTTTTTATTAATATCCCAAAGATCCGATTTTGTTGAAATTTCGCCATGTTGTGAACTTTGATAAGTTAGCACTAATTAAATAATAATTATTATTTACAACAATATTCAAAGGATAAAATCTTATCCCAATAAATATTTGGCAACGCCTTGGATTCATGTGTTTTTACGCCTGGCGGTGGAAAACATGCAAGCTTTTTCTTTGGCCTAAGTTGTTAATTAAAAAAATAATAATCATAAAAAATATAGGTCCTAATAGCCTAAATTTTAGCAAAATGTATCAGCAGATCCGATGAGATCCGAATTATTATGTTTTGGAACTTAATGATTTAATTAATTATTCTCTTTAATGCATTTACCTATCCTACGCGCCAAGAAAAAATATTGCATTAGTCTAAATTTATTATTTATGTGATTCCACTCTTTCACGTATAATTTTCCCCTTGCTTCTCATACGGAAAGAGTTTAAAATAGCCAAACTGTACCTAACAACCCATATGCCTTAACGCATATTCTTTTTTATAATAATATGGGCTTTCTATATCCGCCGGCCCAGACAAAAATTCATATCCATAAAATAGTTGGCCCACACACACACACACACACACACACACTGATAAATGAATAAGACCTCATTTCGGCCTTCAAACGTCCTTGGTCTATTCGATGAACAACGCCGGCTAAATTATCGACTTACGTGTTGACAAGTTGATTAGGCAGGTTATTGAACTCGTGTGGCATCGAGCATGTCGTTTTTTCAAAGATGGGTCCCATATAAACGCGGCCAGAAGTATTTTCAATACTAAAAGCTATCCCCGTCAAGAAGTCGACAATAGCAGAGCCTCCAGAATCAAGCGAGGAAGAAAATGAATATTTTTGTTTGGTGTGTTTGGAATCCTATGGTTTAAGCAAACCACGAGAAAAGTGGATTCAATGCCTTGATTGCAAACTTTTCTCCCACGTAGAATGTACCAAACAAGAAAACTTATATGTGTGCCACAACTGTCAATCTGAGTGAATAATTTATTTTTTGTATTTTTGTTAATGTTCTCTTATTTAGATATGCTTTATTTTGTGTATTTTTTTAATAAACAAAATATAAAAAACAAAAGTTGAAATATTTTTGAATTTACTGAGAAGTGGTACAATTGTCCCCATAAACTGGTACAATCGTCTCGCATGGTGAGACAGTTGTACCACTTTGCAGTGTTTTGAACAAAAATTTATAACTTTTTTATGATTGCACTAAAAAATTTTACTAAACGTTATTTTAAAGGGGGAAGATCTTATGCCTCTAAATATGTCAAAACTGCTTTCATAAATGTTAAGCACTAGTCTCTAAAATTCAGTAAGTAAAAAATGGTACAACTGTCTCCGATCTAGCCTACTACACACACAGTTACAAAGTTTACACCCTTTGAAATTGTTTTTGGACACACAAATTCGAGAGATCCTTTAGATTTAATCTCGAACACATTCTATTCTGAGTACATGAATACACACAAAACAAAAATCAATGATATGTATAATCAAGTTGTACAAAAAACCAATGAACAAAAAGAAAAAGTTATCCCCAAACTAATATTAAAGGTAACGACAATTTAGAGTTTAAAGTTAATCAGCAAGTTTACAAAAAACTATCTGAAAGAAGTAAATCAAAGTGTAAATTTAGTGATCCTTATATAATTAAGGAATTACTTGAACATAATAAAGTAAAAATTGCCAATGCAAATAAACCTTCAAAAACTGAGGTTATACATATTAAGGAATTGAAAAAGCCCCTTATTACAGATTCCTCGGAATAGGGTTATTACTACACTGTAACACAGTATCACACTACGATTTGAACACCAATCCAGGGATCCTTCCTTATAATTTGGGAAAAGCCTTTAAAACAAGTAATCAGTGGACATTTATTCAAATTTTTTAATTAAATACTGTAATCAATGAATTTAATGAATTAAAAAATAAATTTAATTTGTTGAAAAATTATTTTAATACAACTAATGATTATGTGAATGAATTTAGTAATTCATATATTATTATTAATAATTTAGAAACAAAAATTGATGAACAAATAAGTCAAATTTTACTTAAAAATCCTATATGACATAAAAGAGGACTAATAAATGGTTTAGGCTCTATTATTAAAAGCATTACTGGAAATCTTGATCAATCTGACGATGAAAGAATTGATTCAAATATTAATATTTTAAAAGAAAATCAAAATGATTTAAAAATAGTGTTAAATAACCAAACGTCAATTTTGAAAAAATCAATCAATACTTTCAGAGACACAATTAAAAATATATCACTTGATCAAGGTATATTAAAAACAAAAATATATCAAACTATTAAAATAATTGAAAATGTCGAACTTAAACAAACTACAATTTCTGAAGTTTTACAAGTTCATATGATCTTATCTCAAATAGCTTTATTTTATCAAAATATATATAGTAACTGCAATAACTTTTGCTAAATTAAGAACTTTTCATAATGCTCTCGACAATAATATTATGAATCCCGAATATTTATTGTCTGAAATGCAATTAATTAATAAACATTTAATTAATGAAAAACTACCCTTTAAACCTACAAAAGAAAATATGTTAAATATTGAAAATTGTTTAGAAATTAAGAGCTATATTAAAGACCAACAAGTTATATTTATTATTGAGATACCCCTCGTAAGTAAGACTCCATAATATGAATTGTATCAATTGTAATCTTTACCTGTATTAAGAGGATATAAATTTCAAATGATTGTACCCCTA